TCCTCGTTTTTGCACAAAACTGTTACGCAGGGAATTTTTTTTATCTTTAGTATTCAAGGATAATCAAAATGATCGCTGGGGATAGGGTGATAACACGCGGGAATGCGGGCGCTTTGCAGAAACACTTCTTGGGGACCGTGGGTTTCCTTTGCAGCGGAACGTGAGCAGAGGCCTCCGGAAAGCGTCTTTTCTAACCCCGCCTGATGCCTTTAGAGAGACGAAAAGGTGTCCCAAGGCATCGGGGCAAACGCCGTGCGGTACTGGAGGGAGAATGGAAAAATGAGGTTGACACCAGTCCCAGAAGGCATCACCTGCCTCCGGGTCGGAAAAGTCCGACGGCTTTTCATCTTCTGTTTCCGGTTAGTTCAGAAACCGAGTCACTGTGGCCAGAAAGAGGTGCCTGTGAGTTTAGAATTTGCTCTTGGAGCACAGCAGGGCTCGGGTGTCCCCGAGGAAGCAGGTGACCCGCACCTCCGGAGGGTCCCCACCCCCACCGCCAGCCACACACCTGCCCCACCACCACGAGCCGAGTTCGTCCTCTTGGTGGGACAGAAAGAAACAGAAAAGAAAAGAAAACCGGGTCGACAGGAACATGAGCAGAGAGAGAGGACCTCGGAGGCATTTCTAAAGACGGCTTCAGGTTTCAAGAAGTCTTAAGGCATCGGGAAAACATTTGCAGCTTTAGAATATTTATTGGGTTTTTAATCAATTCTATGGTGGATGTGAGGGTTTTTTTCTGTAGCTCAAACGTGGAAGGAGTTTATTAGTTAACCAGATATCACTGAGAGGAATTTAAAATACTGTTACTACCAAAGATTTTTATTAATAAAGCCTTCTATTTTGGTAACACTTCTCTATATTTTTACTTACAGGAATGTTACTGTTGGACAGTTACCACTTTAACGCTTGTAAAAACAAGTCTCCTAGATGACATGAGCGCTCTAAATTTGCAGCAATTACCCTAACCAATTACCTGAAGTTTCTCAAGCACCGAGAGAAACACAGGAAATGTTTCACCAAAGAAAGGGACGAAAACGTAAAAGTGTTTGTCTTGAACATGCGGTTGGGTGTGATATGATTCCCTTACGTCGCCAACTGTGATCGAAGTCCGTAGGTGCCATAGATTCTCGCTATTTGCTAAGCTCGTGCGGTCCGATGCTTCTGTTTTCTCTTGTACAGTGAGTAGCTTGAAATGGGGTTTTTGTATATAAACCTTGTATTAAAAATTAGGTGATTACCAAAAATCCTTTTATGGAAACCACTTTTTTTAAAAAAAAAAAAAAAAAAAAAAAAGAGCGTGTACACAAATCCGCAGAGGATCGCGGCTGAAGGTTCACTCAACTAAATAAATTTGGATACACGACCACTTAACTTCAGTTGAGCGCTGTCCGTGCGGCCCCTCGCCCCAGGAAGCCGGGCGGCTGTCCTCGGAGCCCCCGGGTCGAGCTGCACATTTGGGAGGGATCATAGGCATCCATTTCCTCCCGTGTCAGACACGTGGATTGTTCTAGATGTTCCTGGGACTCCCTCGCCCTGTAAGAGCGTGTGTGCACGTGTGTGGTTTTGCATGTGCTCGTGTCTGCCTGTGCACACGTGTGCATGTGTGTTGATGTTTGGGCGGTGTGCACACGTGTGTGCACTGTGTGTACCTGTGTGTGTGCCTCTGTGTGTGTGTGTGTGTGCACCTGCATTTATGTTGGGATGGGAGTCGTGGTCACGCCTTTCCAGCAGCCTCTTCCACCATCGCGATCCTCAAGTTCCCACCCCCGGTCCCGCCAACCCAACACAGTACTGAGGATTCCATGGACCTAAAGTGTCCCCAACCCTTTCGGGGACCCACCTAGGATTGCCGGTGTTTTCACTGGGGCACGTGTGCACACTTTTTAAAACTACCACCTAGAAACACAACCATTTCACGAAGGAAAGGTATTTTTTCACACCCAAGGCTAGCAAAGCCACACAGCCCTGCTGGCCGAGGACCTTCCTTCCGCCTCACGTGCGTCCGGCACCAGGGAGAGCTTTGCGCGCCCCCTAGTGCTCACGTTCCTGCATCCCCAAGAACATCAGCAAAGCACAAGCTCAATGCCCTGAGCATCCTTCTCAAGCTCTGGAACCGCTTCCTTAGTCTAGACATGAAGGCAACGTCCGGGGACAGCATCGCAAGGACGATGAGGGCTCCTGGTAGGATCTTTAGCCCCGTTTGTCAAATGAAGAAACCGCCTCAGAGTGGGCAAGTGACTGGCCCGAGGTCACAGGGCTCCTTAGCACCTAAGCCGAGACTGGCGCCCGGACCTTGTAGACATTCATTCGTGCGGGGTTCAAGCAGACAGCAGTGGACAAAGCAGACCAGTCCTCCCCCCAGGCTATGACTTCTTACAGAAAGTGTGAGATGCTTAACCAGAAAATGGAACCCAGAACCAGATAGTTTCAGAGGAAGAAAGAGACACTGATGAAACAGAACAGAGCGTGACATGGTTGGTCCGGGAGGCCCCTGGAGGCCTGAGTAACAAGGAGGCAGCAGGACAGTTCAGGTAGCAGAAGGGCAGTGCAAAGGCCCGGAGGCAGCAGGGTGCGGACCGCTGGCTTGAGGGGAGGGGAGGGGCGGGGCGGGGGGAGGCGGCAGGAGACAGGGTAGGGGAGGTAGCCACGAGCGACTCACACAGGGCTCCCAGGCGACCCAAGGACCTGGAGCCTGGCGGTAAAAGCCACCGCAGGGGCTGGGTGGTGTTAACCAGCCCAGAGATGGGATCTGATGCACATTTTGAGGTCTTTGCATTTGTCAGGTGAAGTCTGCAGTGGGATGGGAAGCCAAAGAGAGGTGTTCCAGAGATCCAGGAGGGCGATGGTAGGGTTTGGATGGGGTCGGTAGAGGTGGGTGGAGAAAAACCGAGAGATGATGCCACAGAGACCCGACTTCTGGCCTTGGAAGAGATCAGCCCGTCAGCCGGCACTGTTAGCAACAATGGGGCCCAGAGAGGGTCAGGGCTCCGCTGCAGTCACACAGCAAGGTAGCGACACAGCCGTCTCTCGAACCCAGGCCCCGTGGCCCCCAACGCTGAATGTTGTCTGCTACTGGTCCTGGAGTGGCGTCGTGCCCGCCCACAGCAGGACAGTGATGGGCAACGGCCCGCAGAGGCCTGAGGTCTGGGGCGGGGAGGGCACTCGTGCTGGGACCTGCTTTGGGGGCTCTGCTCTCTCCCCCCCCCCCCCAACAGGCGGAGGCTGCCGTGAGCTACATCTAGCCCGATACAATATCCGTTTGGCAGGTTCAGCGTTTGCTCATTTTTGTAGTTGATTTAATATGCAAAAAGCAAGTAAACCTACATAAAAACCCAGATTTGCATGTTCTGAAAATTCTCAAGCCATCTGACAACACAGCCCCATTTTGCAGCCTGTCACCTCCTCCCAGATGACCGGAGCCCCTGGTGGCTGCTGTGCTTTAGATGGTGCATGCACCCTGCAGTCTCCCCAGCCCCCCTCCCGCCCCCCCAAGTGTGCCTGCCCACTGACTAAGCACACAGCTGTGACGGCGGTTCCGAAGGCCACTGGGGCCAGGCCCAGTCCTGGGATCCCCGACCAGCCGTGAGATTCCCTGGAACAGAGCTTGGCCGGGGTGTGTGCCTGGGACAGGGGTGTCGCCAGCCCAAGACTGGATTCAGAGCCCCTGCTCCGGGGCACCAACTTCCCCACCACCCCCACACATTCATATGTGACAGGTCCCCAGGAGTCATTTGTGTGCCCCTTAAAATAACCCCCTACCACAGATGGCGTGTGTCCCCTACTCAGGCAACACTCATTTACTTGTCCATGTTTTGTAAGAGCCACGGCTAAGTAAAGAAGCGCAAGCTCTTGTCAGAAAACAGGCCAGTAAGGGGAAGTGGTGCAGTGCCAGGCACAGAGGAGGCACCAGAAAGTGTTGAATGAATGAATAAGTGAGTGAGGGATGGACGGACAGATGGATGGATGGATGGAAGGAAGGACAGAAGGATGGATGGATGGATAGATGGATAAACAGAGAGGTGGGTGGTTAGACGGAATGATGGCTATTTGACGCATGGGTAGATGGATGGAGAAAGCAACAGACTGACAACTGGGCCTTTCTGCCTTTGGGCTGCGTGGACCTTGGAGTCCAGCTGGCAGACGCATTGGTGGAGGAGGTAAGGGGGTGCCTTCTGGACCACAGGTATGTCCACAGCAAGCAGCCCATTCACTGTTCCTCACACAGCTTTTGGCCGAAGAGTGCGTGGCACCCGAAGCACTGACCCGGTCCAGCCCAGGGATTCAGCCTGGCTTGCTCAGACGGGCTGGCGTCTGCTGCCCCTGCCAGGAGCCGGCCAGGATGCACCCCTGGGGAAAAGGCAACCTTGTAGACGCTGAGGTCTAATTTCCTCTGCTCTGCTAAGTAATCGATCTGCTGTGTCCCATTCTCAACCCCCTTTCTTTCGTCCCCTGCTTCTACGCCCTCCTGGCTCTCCCCCTACATTTTTACTGAAGGATGACGCACAGAAAACCGTTCAGCTTACATGTGCGATCAACTTCCACAGAAAACACACTCGCCTGTAGCCAGGATGCTCCCTTCTGGTCCCGGGTCTTTACCGGGCGGGCGGTGAGCGGACCTGACCTGCGGTCCTGGCTTCCGGCCCCAGCGAGGCCTGCCTCGTTCCGCTTGTTGGTGGCTGCTGCCCTCTGCTGGCTGCCTGTGGGGGCTGCACTGGGGGCAGTGAAGCCTGTTAAATTATCACAAACTTCATGGCTTCAAACAACACAAATGTAATCAAGTTCTTGGTTTCTCTTTCTGTTGCTTCATTATGGATGTATAGAGACGCAACAGATTTCTGTACGCGGATCTCATATCTTGCGACTTTGCTGAATTCATGTATCAGTTCTAGCAGCTTTTTGGTGGAGTCTTTTCAGGTTTTCCATGCAGAGTATCGGAAAGTGAAAGTCTGACTTCTTCTTTGCCAAATTGGACGCCTTTTATTTCATTTTGTCGTCTGCTGATGCGAGGACTTCCAACACCATGTTAAACAACAGTGATGAGAGTAGACATCCCTGTCATGTTCTTGGTCTCAGGGAGAAAGAAATCGATCCCATTTACAATGGTACAAAGAACCACAAGATTCCTAGGAATAAACCTAACCAAAGATGTAAAAGATCTGTAAGCTGAAAACTATAGAAAACTTATGAAAGAAATTGAAGAAGACACAAAGAAATGGAAGAACATTCCACGCTCATTGATTGGAAAAACAAATATTGTTAAAATGTCATTATTACCCAAAGCAATCTACACATTCAATGCAATCCCTATCAAAATAACAGCATTCTTCACAGAGCTAGAACAAATAATTTCCATACTTTCTATGGAACCAGAAAAGACCCTGAATAGCCGAAGCAATGTTAAAAAAGAAAGCCAGGGGCGCCTGGGTGGCGCAGTCGGTTAAGCGTCCGACTTCAGCCAGGTCATGATCTCGCGGTCCGTGAGTTCGAGCCCCGGGTCAGGCTCTGGGCTGATGGCTCAGAGCCTGGAGCCTGTTTCCGATTCTGTGTCTCCCTCTCTCTTTGCCCCTCCCCCGTTCATGCTCTGTCTCTCTCTGTCCCAAAAATAAATAAATGTTGAAAAAAAAAAAAAAAGAAAGCCAAAGCTGGAGGCATCACAATCCCAGACTTTAGCCCCTACTACAAAGCCGTACTCATCAAGACAGTATGGTACTGGCACAAGAACAGACACATAGACCAATGGAATAGGATAGAGAACCTGGAATTGGACCCACAAATGTGTGGCCAACCAATCTTTGACAAAGCAGGAAAGCGCATCCAGCGGCATAAAGACAGTCTCTTCAGCAAGTGGTGCTGGGAAAACTGGACGGCGACATACATAATAACGAGCCTGGACCACTTTCTTACAGCAGACACAAAATAAACTCAAAATGGGTGAAAGACCTAAATGTAAGACAGGAAGCCATCAGAACCCCAGAGGAGAAAACAGGCAACAACTTCTTTGACCTCAGCTGCCGCAATTTCTTGCTTGACACATCTCCAAAGGCAAGGGAAATAAAAGCAAAAACGAACTGTTGGGACCTCATCAAGATAAAAAGCTTCCGCACTGCAAAGGAAGCAATCAACAAAACTAAAAGGCAACCAACGGAATGGGAGAAGATATTTGCAAACGACATATCGGATAAAGGGTTAGTATCCAAAACCTGTAAAGAACTTACCAAACTCAACACCCAAAAACCAAACAATCCAGGGAAGAAATGGGCAAAAGACATGAATAGACACTTTTCCAAAGAAGACATCCAGATGGCCGACAGACATGTGAAAAGATGCTCAACGTCACTCCTCATCAGAGAAATACAAATCAAAACCACACTGAGATACCACCTCACGCTGGTCATAGTGGCTGAACTGAACAAATCAGGAGACTCTGGATGCTGGAGAGGATGCGGAGAAACGGGAACCCTCTTGCACTGTTGGTGGGAATGCAAACTGGTGCAGCTGCTCTGGAAAGCAGTGTGGAGGTTCCTCAAGAAATTAAAATTAGATCTACCCTATGACCCGGCAATAGCACTGCTAGGACTTTACCCAAGGGATACAGGAGGGCTGATGCACGGGGGCACTTGTACCCCAATGTTTATAGCAGCACTTTCAACAACAGCCAAATTATGGAAAGAGCCTAAATCTCCATCAAGTGATGAATGGATAAAGAAATCGTGGT